AATTCTGCGTCAAAGCGTGTGCAGAATCACATTTTTACTGAGTTTATCTTAGATGTGCCCAGTTCTCTTGATACCCTTCAAAGTTTACATAATAAACTAACCGAGACTTTCATAAAAGTATTTCTACAGAGACGCAATTTCATAAAGAAGATTGAATAAAGTTAAATTAACCTTCAATAGGAAAGGTTTTTTCCTCTTTTTAATGCGATATTTAAGGGAAGTCGGTGTTACGATGTTTTCGTAAAGAAATGGTTTGAATAAGATTTCATTAAAAATGGCCGACACTTCTGTGCGCCGATCTCGGAAAGTAGGGAGAAACCGAGTAAACGGGATTAACATATACATCCGCATTAATACAGGAAATCCGTATATTATATTTCGCTGTCAAGATCCTTCCCAGACTTTCTCAGCAACTCTGCCGTTTGCTATCTGCCACACTTTTTATTTCCGCGCGGGCGGTGTGATTAGAAGAGGTGTTTGTAGTCAGTAATGGGATAATTGGACGTGCGAAAGGCAGCCCGCTGCATTTTCATGCACCTCTGGTTATGCAGGCATTATCGCAAAATGCAGTTTCGCACACTCGAGCTCGAATCGTTTGCAGCAGGGTGCGATTTTCCACGTTAGTCCCGTGATGGCTTTACGACTGAAATTACCACGCACTACAAATATGGCGGCGGCCCAGATTAAAATACAATAGGTGAACTTGCCGCCATTCATGAAATATTCAATTTTCCCAATGAAACAGGCTACGCATAAATTACCTAGAGCTTTTGTGCTCATTTCATTTTCATTTAGTCCTAATTTCTTTATAACGAGACCACTTGCACGCATATTTTCTTGCCAGAAGTAATATACATTCATTTTGGTGTAATACTTGTTCTTCGACAGTTCTTAGACTTTTTTTTATAGACATCGCGAGGAATAACCGAACGTTAATGAAAACTCGTTCTTTGAATTAATAACGATAATGGCATTAACGCCGAGTTGAACGTCACTCGCACACTCTTACACATATTTTCTTGTATAATAAGTTATTATAGAAACATTATGCAAATATCGAAGCGGTTAACGTCAATTACATATCTGTACTCAATGTCTACTTAGAATTAAATTTCGCTTGCCATTAAATTAAGGAACATCGAACAATATTGAATTAAGCATATACGATTTGAACTTCGCGCGTGTTTTTAGTTTTTATTCGAGGCGAATTATTCTTTGAATTAGCAAAATATTCCTTAGGTCCAATGAATTCTTTTTTTCTCGGTGCATAAGGCTTATTAATTGTTAGACCAAAAAACCACATTCCTGTTTGGAGATTTTTACAAAATTACGCTCGGCTTTCCAGCTAGTCGAAGTCGCTGATACGACCTAACGGCAAAACGTTACTTGGAGACTTGTAATAACAGGGATTTACGAATGACCCATGCAGTTTCTCGTTTCTGGCTCCATTCAATGGCGACCATGCCTCGCGAAACCCATGAAATTCGCGAACGAGCGACCGAGCGAACGGCGAGACATTAATCGACCCTATCAATTCCAATTTCGTTCCGATCGCGCCGATTAATCGCCGCAGAATCCGAATCCGTGGGATTGATTTCACCGAAGAGAAGCTCGAGCTCTCGCCGAGCTAATCGCTGATAATTAATTGATACAGTGAAATCGAGAAATTATAAGAGACCAATTATACGTCTATCGGTCTATCTAAGGTGCTCTTGAACGCAGATAATCGACATTTCTCCCTTGAATTTCAGATTGGCCGACTAGGAGATTTATTAGAAATTCCCCGGAATTTCCACGTCTCGTACGTTTCCGAGGTAATACGAATAAGTCGTACCGCAATTATCGCGTGTGGTCGCAAAGTGCTCCTCGGTGCTCACAAGTTCACGGAGAGGAGCGCTTGGAAAAATGATTGCAGAAATTATTCACGGCAAACTTTCTCTCTCTCTCTCTCTCTCTCTCTCTGCGTGTTTCCGGCGTGTCGTAAACATTAAGCATTTTCGCGACAATTTTACAGCTTCTGATTTTTCCCCGTGAAATATCGCGATCTTAAAATTCATCCGCTTGATTTAAGGTGGTATGAAAATCTCAAACCAATCAACTCAAGAAGGACACTTTTCTTCAAAGGATTCTACCAAATAGCTGAAAATTTCACCGCGTAAATCGTGAGAACCTGAAGAACGTTCCGGCACTATCAAAATATCGATTTTCAATCGGAATACCCTTCAAAAGAGGTATCATATTCGAATCGACTGATTTGAAGGTTTCACACCACCTTCAATCCAAGCACAAGTTCCTTCGAGTAGAAAGGAAATATCGTAGCACGTTTTTAAAATGTCCATTTTCACAAAAAAAAAAGTTTAGACTAAAAGAAACATTTTTTGTTGTTAAAAATCAACATTTTGAAACAATCGGGACATTCGTTAGATGCTCACGAATTATGTGCTAAAATTGACGCCAGTTCGGTGAAATACCCTTTAAAAAAAGTGTAATATTCGGATCGACTGATTTGAAGGTTTCACACCACCTTCAATCCAAGCACAAGTTCCTTCGAGTAGAAAGGAAATATCAAAGCACGTTATTAAAATGTCCATTTTCACAAAAAAAAAAGTTTAGACTAAAAGAAACATTTTTTTTGTTAAAAATCAACATTTTGAAACAATCGGGACATTCCTTAGATGCTCACGAATTATGTGCTAAAATTTAAGCTAGTTCGGTGAAATACCCTTTAAAAAAAGTGTAATATTCGGATCGACTGATTTGAAGGTTTCACGTCATCTTAAATCCAAACGCAAGTCCATTCGAAGTAGAAGGAAGGATTAAAGCGCGTTGTTTCCTTCGAAAATAAATTCGATCATACCCGAGCCCAGCCTTTGGGAACCCGAAGAGACCAAAAGAAAGCTTCCAGCTTCCACCGCCCGAAGCGCGGAGTGAAAGCTCCTCTTCTCTCCCGAAGCCAGTTTACAAAGACGTGGACCGAGACGTCGTTAAGCCTCGGTATCGACGACCTCCCCGTGGAATTACGACAGCAAATTGGCACGCACCGTCTTATTTATCTCACGAGCTCCTCGTCGGTGCAACCGTGAGATCCCGATGACGGGTGCATCTCCCAGGCGGGTTATCTCTTGAGTTATGAGATGCGAGTTATGGGCCGTGACACCGTAGATACGGCTCGTCGTCGATCAACGTCTCTATCTAAATCCAACCGGGTTCAAGAAATATCCACAGAAGAAAATCCTCCCCAAACAATGGGTCGATCAGTCCCTAATGAGAAAAAAATTCCAGTCGGCATTGAACTCCCTTCGCTGATGATCCACCGTCGAAATCTCTTTTCAGCGGCCACTGCGGCCGTGAGTGCAGCCAAGCCTCTACCGCGACGTAACAACTTTCTTCCCATCCGCAGGAATCCGCGGACTCTTTTTGGCCGCCAACCAAGGCCAAGCTCGGCATTTATTTTCAGCGAATATGCAGATACGCCGGGCTCGGCCCTCTCCTTTTTCCGCTCTCCCGACTCGCATTATGGCGATGTTTCTTTGCCCGGCGGAGAGAAAGTGTGCGTTTCGCACGCGAACTCGCGCCATCGGTCCACGGCCCGAGGGGCCGTCATCCGAGCGAGAGATTCGCGCTTCGGCCGAGCGCGAGTTCGCACGTGCGAACAAGCGAGTCGTAAAGGCACGCTCGTAACGCGCCGACGGGGAATGCCACGACCTTAAGTTCATCGACTTAATTTAAGGCGTTGTAAAACCCTTCGATTCGAATAAGCCACTTTTCTTGAAGAATAATTCGCTAAATCGGCTGAAATTTTATCACGTAACTCGTGAATACCCAAGGAATGTCTCGCTACTCAAAATTTCGATTTTCGAAAAAAAGTTGTTCGGTTTAACCTAAACATTTTTATAAATCAAGTTTTAATGCAATAAAAATATTCCTGAGGTGAAATATCCTTTTAAAAAAATGTCTTCCTCGAATCGACTGGTTTGAGGGTCTCACGTAACCTCAAATTGGAATGTAAATTTATATGATTTGAAGAAAAATATCAGATCGCGTTATTTCACCATTTATAGATTAAAAATAATTTCGGTCATACTCGATCCTTTGGGAATTCCAAGAAACCAAAAGAAAGCTCTTTCGAGGGGCCTGTTTTCCGAGCGAGAGATTCACACGTGCGAACAAATGAGTCGTAAAATCGTCGTAAAGGCGCACACGCAACTCGGCGACGGACCGAAAGTCCTAGGTTTCCTCGAACAGGTCGTCAAGAGATGGACGCAGGATATACGTGTCGGGCACATGTATCTTACGTCGGTGAAAGAGCCGCGAGAAGACCCGGAAACCTTAAGGCGATTTGCAAATTGACGACGGCCGATTTCTAATGGACGTCTACAGAGAGCGGCTCTTCCGATGAAAAGAGAGCGGATTACGGAGAGAGCGTACATGAAACGTCAAGATTTTGCATTTTTATAAGATTAAATAAAGAACCATTTTACCATATCTACGTCAATATGAATGTTCAATAAACTCTAAATGTATTTCTCAAATAACTGCAGTTTTTACACATGAACGTAATCAACCAAAAATAACAAACCAAGTGATCGCCGTCTTCGTTTAATTCTTGAATCCACAAATAGCGACCGATTAGAAATTTTGATTAGGATCTGAGAGTGAGGTATTTTTAGTAGCGAAAGGAATAGATGTCAAGAGATAAATCTGTAATAGATTCTACGCCATCAGACGCTTGACTCGTTCAGCTCGTTTGTCGGCGAATAATTTATTGTAATGTAAGACTACATTGAGGATTGCGCCAGTAGTTTCGATATAAAGTCGTTACCAAGATGTCTAAGGTTCTACCCCAGTCGTGTGATTTTTAAATACTATTAGATTCAACTTTAGACGTAGTTACGTTGATAGTACAATTTACGTTGCGTCATATTCAATATTAACTGCGAAAATTATACATGTAGAACCTTATAACAGCAAGGAGGTGATAAGCGATAAAACGTACTCACCTGACTTTGCCCAACACGGTACGATGCTGGATCCACGTCCACCGTCAGCAACATATCCTCGACAGCGCGACGTTCGTCAGCAACAGGGCTTCCAGGACGCGCGTTGCTATCGCTTGATAGTAATCCAAAACGCCTCCGGAACTCACCAAGAGGCATTAACTTTGGAAAGCCAACCTTGTGTAGTCTGACTGCGTGCACGATCTCACTTCCACGAATCTAAAACAGGATGGTTAGCTTTAGATTGATCGCGGTAGTCCTTTATCTACTTTCAAACGCAAGGATCATGTCGAGATTCTTGATAGCTTCGGATATCAGAAAGCGTGGTTGGATCAAACTTTGCGTCACGGTGTTCATGAGAGAAGTCTGAATTAATGAAAAAGGAACCTCACTTACTTGGGACCGCAGAAGAGGAACGTTGATGATGTTGTCTTCACATTGGTTCGATTTAACTGACAAAATGCTCTTATTCTCGGTGTACCCCGCGTTATGCTGTGGCAGGAGACAGTGTATGAATTTTACCCGTGTCCTCCTTAGGGTCTCTACAAGGCCATCCTGGAAACAAGGAAAAAAAAAATACTCTTAGAAAAACTCACAACTTAAGGTGATGAGAAAATGGCGTCAGAGAATTCTCATTTATGAAACTTTTCTCCGAACTGGGTGTACCGAATCGTTTCAGACTCTACCACGTGGACGTGGAGGCCCTAAGAAAGGTCCTGACACTTGTGCCATTTTAATCATTAATAAATTTGTTTATATACAGTTTTTTCTTAATTTGGGTACAACATGAAATGTATTAGGTATCGGGACCTTCCTTAGGGCTTCCACATTTATGTGGTTAAATTTTAAACGATTTTAAACATCAAGTTCGCAGAAAAGCTTAATGAACGATTAAATCTCAGATACCACTTTCACATCGCCTTAAAAGTATTGATAGAAGTCATATGGTAGCATTTCTTCAACGTCAGTTCAGGCAGACGAGAAATGCGATATTTCATGAAGTTACCCAGCAAAGATTCCGGTACTTACAACAGTGAACTTGACTTGCAAGCAAACGTTTTTTCTCTTGACCGCGGTGAACGTTCTTCTAATACTGGAAGCTCTTCTGAGAGACTGAGATCCCTCCAGACCAGGAACCGAGCCACTCAGTGCTCCAGAAACCCCAGCACCCCGAGCGCACACGAAGAGTCTGCTGACGTCTTCCCTGAAAGAGGAAAGAGTGGTGAACGAATTTCTCCCATTTCGACCTCGATCCGATCATAAAAATAAAAATCACAATTACCTAGTACTTTCTTGCAGGATAATAATAGCACTACGAGCGACAGGATTTTCTCGAGTAGCCTTGAGCCATCCGGTTGCCGTGTACAAGACAGGATTAGTGCCCTGAAGATGTTGCAAGACGAACTGGTTGTTACCGGGAGCCTTCATCAGCAGCATCTGATGATCTGAAACGACAACATGCAGTCTGATCAAATTTTCAATTCTTTTCGGGATTCCCTGGAGAAAGGAACCAGCAAAATGGTCAACATCTCAGAGTGTTACGAGGATACCGTAGGTACGGAGACTCACATAGTACGTCGTAGGAATGCAACGCGTTAACGACCTCCTGAAAAATGCAAGACCCACTTACCCCTTTCATAGAGGGAGAACAAACGGTCGAGGAAGGTCTCATCACTCCCTCCTGGACTGACGGTTTCTTCGTCTAACAACCAAAGGAGACCTTTTCGGTCCCCTTGCCTGCTACTGCTGAGGTCGCTTTGACTTGTCCTCAGCATGGCAGCGCTTTGTGAACCACCACGGTCCATAAAAGACACCATAGCTTGCGGAGACCCGACACCATCCTCGTCATAATCATCTTCATGGTCGATGTCGATACCCTCCTGCACATACCTGAAGACGCAGCAGGATTTCAAAATGATTTACTTAGAAAAGCATCCTCAACTAGTTTTCTAGAAATATTCTAGACGATACCAGACCTGTCTTTAGGTGCGATCAGAGTGGTATGGTGGAACAGAAGTTGCAGGCGTTCTTGCAGGTAATTGTGACAAAGATCTTCGAAAGTTGCTCCGGTTTGTTTTCCGCATGACGCAGGATTCTGGAAACCAGGTGCATCACACAACAGCAGCGAGGAGACCGTATGCAATGATGAAGAGATAGACCTGGAAAATACATGTACCCTTTAATCCATGAATCTAATTCCTAGGAAATGATGATAAATTCCTCGGCTGTATTGAACATTCACTTTTACATTGAAATACCTGTCGGCATCATCAAGCTTAGTTGCTCATAATTTGATCTATCTGCGTCTCGACTAGACTCCAATTGGCACGCTATTTGTTCGCGGCAAATCGATTGAAAAGCTGAAGGCAGTTCACGCTCAACTTAACACAGTCTAGTCCAGCTTAATCTCGATTCAACGTAATCGTTTCTTCGAAGTTATCACGAGCTACCATGAACCTATCTGATCTAGCTTCCCGAAGTAACGATCTAACTATGCGCAAAGAAACAATCAGTCCAAGTACACCCCTTCGTGAATGCACGCCTAATCGCATTATCGTTCAACGAAAGTACGTTTCGTGCGCATTATCTACATAAAAAGTACGCATGATTGTAGACATCCACCTAGAATCTATGCAATAGAATCTGAACCAGCGATTTCCTACACTGAGAAAAATATGTCTTTCATTCGAAGAAAACGATTTCTTTGAATAATCCTCATTTGCATCAAATAACAGGGTTTAGGTAGAAATAACATGTAATTACCCCAAAGAAATATTTCCTTATCATTCAAAGAAGTGTTAATACCCTACGAATTTCTTTAAAGCCAATGCATTTAATTGCAACAAATAACGACGGACTATTCTAGTCGATCTATTGAACGAAATCGTTTCGTAGGTATAAAAGTATATTCAATTTCATTGAACCAAGAAAACAATGTCTGAATAAAAAATGTTCTCTTTCAAGGCAATTATTTCTTTGAATGGAGTTAAAGAAATGAAACATGTAGTTTCGATTTCTTGCGTTAATTTAAGATGTGAAGGTTTCTATCAATACGATGCATCGGAGTTAAACATTCAGGATGCTTGACTGAAGACTATATTTCTTTGATTTTAGGTTAGAATTTCTTTAACTGCAAACAAATAATTTCTTTGAATGAAGAAGAAATTTTCTCAGTGTAGAAGAAAATGCCAAATCGCTGTCAGAGCTGATCAGCCTGGTGCCGACCACTCGATCAAAATTTCAGTGTCCATCGTCACCTGTTGATCAGAGCTGCGACACAGTGGAAGACTTCGGAATACAATCCCACGAGAAGTCCTTCCAAGGCATCCAAACCAGTAACATCTTTGCTCTGCTCGGTAGGACTGGGAGTTCTCAAAGCTGGTCTGGGAGTACTTGGTGTTCCACCACCGCCGTTGCAGGAAAAGACAACCCTGCTGAGCTCTTCAACGGAGGTACCCAAAAGAGTGGCGGCTCTCTCAGCGCACTCCACCCTGGCGAATTGCCATCTACTCTGGGAGCTGGTGCCAGCTTTAACAGCTCCAGCACAGCTGAGGTGGTAAATCCCAGCCAAGGTCAACCAGATCACCTTCTCATCAGCCTCGGGGACGCCGAGGATCTTGAAGGCTGCCACGATGCGATTGAACTCCACCATGGCTCGTTGTTTGTCTTCGTGCTTCTGTAAAGGGGTGACGAAGGGGTTGTTTTCGGCAACGAGGTTGGTCAGGTGAAGCTCCTTCCTCAGGGCACCCTCAGCTCCTGCTAGAAGACGGTACATGGCGTGGAATGTTGGATCTCCGTTCCCACGTCGTCCTATTCTCGACTTCTCCAGGAGCAAGACCTGAAATTAAGAGATAGGGTTGTAGAAATTATAACGAAGCGTCGATCATTAGGATTTATTATTTATTCTTTTAGTCGAACATTTACCTGCAAAGATGCCGAAGCGATTTGCCCAGACTGATCGAAGTCCAAGCTGAACAACTGCGTAAATCGGGTAGCATTGGAATTCATGTGTGATCTGCTATTCCCGAAGGCTTCTAGCACCGTGAAGAGAGCATTCAGCTTCTCAATGGTTAAAATCTGAAAGAAGAGAGACGATTGTCCTGACAATTCTGAAGTATGAAGTACTAATTGCAAGATTGGCAAAGTGCAATGCGACCGGTCTCTTGAATGCCGAGTGGGAAGAAAAAATGAAACGGTTTCCAGGAATCGCATTAAGCCGACAAGGACGAGGTTTATGAGATTCCTCCCAGTCGTTTATGAGATTCCTGCAAACAATATCGAACACTTTCAACAAATTACCAGGTGCTGCCTTTAACCCGACAATTACCTTATTCACAGTTCCCGCTGCGAGAACTAGATAATGTAAAGCGTGTTTGAAATTCGTTGTCTTTCCTGCACCACTTCTTCCAAGAAAAACCAGGGAGTGATCTCGTCTAGTCGCCAACATCCCCCTGTAAGCTGACTGGGCCATGGCATAGATATGTGGAGGCATGTCCTCGCTTTTGCACCCTTTGAACATGTGAACAACCTGTGGAAGAAAAAATTAAATTGAATCACTGCTAATGATTAAAAAATCGAGCGACATAGATCTTCCTTAGGCAAGTGCATCTTTCCAAAGTCTCTAAATCCTAAGGAAAAAATGTAATTAATTTTCCTTATCTCTCAAGAAATTTAAATAAACACGTGAAATTATTTTCAATTCCCTTAGAACATTCCACCAACCTTTTCCGAGTAAATCGCGAGGGGGGCAACTGGATTGACGACAACCATGCTTTCGCCTGCATAAGTATGGATCAAATTATTGGCATATCTTTGCCTCAAGGTATGAAGTACCGAAGACTCGTTCAAAAAGCGAAGTTGAGACAGTTCTTCCGCCTTGTCGAACTGAGGAGGATTTGCCTGCAAACGAAACGAGGATTTTAGTAAATGTTAAGAAATCTTTTGTTGGTGGAGAAAGAGCGATATGTCGGGAGATGTGAATGAGGATAAAAGGATCTCACCTTTTCGACGTCTTCTTCGTCGACTAATAACTCCTCTCCAGATGGAATTAAACGTACTCTCAATTTTCCAGTGTCGGGATCTGCAGGACCGCATCTCGTGGCTGCTGTGAATCCACCTCTGTGCAAAAGCCAGATTCTATCCGATGCCAACCATGCTTGCTCCTGTGCCAAATGTTCCTCAGAACGCGCCTAAATGACAAAAAAGTATAAATTAATCACCCGTCGTACGATTCATTTTCAGACACATGTACAAGTACCCAGAGACGATTAAAACTTATTTGACACACCTTGACAACATTTTCGACCCTGCGGGCATTCGAGTGAACATCAAATCGTCGAATTTTTTTCCCAATATTAATGAGATATAGAATAAAATATATAACCATGAGAACACTCGCAAGGATCATTATTTTTGTAATTATATTTACACTTCCTTCTCTGCTTGTAGTCGAACGCTTCCCTGTGTTAATTGATGCAGCTTATTGTTATAATATTGCCAACTTTATAGACTCTCTTCTTGCATTTACTATCACGAGAAAATCAACCTGTTTACCAAGCTATTCTCTATAAAATGCTTTGAGCGCCTTAGTGCTCCGATAATGTGTAGTGCTGATAATAGAAGACTCAATGAACTTTGTCCCCCCGACCCGATATTCGCGCATCGTCTTGTAAGTATCATGAAATTAAACTGCCACTTTAAAAACTCATCACATGCCTAATTAGCCGTCCCTCGAGAATAATAATCTCCGACCGAATATACTTGAGATTAAAAATTAAAAAAATTAAGGATTTTAAATGGCCTTAACAAGCATTTCCAAATATCGACGCAGATCAAATGCGAGTCGAGTCACCGAATTACGATGATAACGCGTAAGAATTAATTTCATCGTCACGTCGATCGAGAGCATTGCCGAATAATATTTAATTTTCATCACGGTAAGTAAGAGAAAATAAACTAATCTACATTTCTCCACTCGTGATGAATCTCGAGAGTCTTCAAAATGGCCGCCCGGCCCAAGATAATGAAAGGCGCGCTAATTCCGCCGATGCAATTCGCCTTAAATGCAGCGATTGCGACAACCGGCGTACACGGAAACGCGACACCCCAGAAATGAATTAGGAATGAAAAGTCGCCAAGTAATTTGCATCAAGCCTTAACAGCAACGAGAGGCGCCTCTTGAACTCGAGGAGAGACGCGTGTCCACTTGACCGCGCGTGAACTGCGAAATTACGCAAATACCCTCCTCGCCATTCGAGATGTCTTTATTTATTCGAGGCCCGTCGTTAATTCCTCCTTTTATTTTCCCCCGACTTTTTTTCCTATCTTTATAGCGCCCGAAACAACCAAACGGAGCCCAAATTTAACGACTCTGTCCGCGCCGAATCGTCTCGGATGTCTCGTTATACACGCTACTGGAAAATTAACCAGGGAAGCCGTGAAGATTCCATTTTATTACCATTCTTACGACAATTTATTATTACACCGGTACGTACTTTTTCCCATCTTAAAACCCCGTACCAAGACCATTTTTCCCTCATCGAAATTTTCCCTGAAAATATTTCTGCAATAATCTCCGAGTTATATACTCCATTCTTCGGTTTACCTCTCGAGAAAAAAATGTGTAAAAATCCTTTACGTATTTCATTTTTTTTTAATTTTTTTTATGTATATTAGGTACCGAAAGAATCATCGCTCACTTTCTTAAAATATCTCAGAGGTCTCGTTATATACGCTACTGGAAAATTAACCAGAGAAGCCGTGAAGATTCCACTTTATTACCATTCTTACGACAATTTATTATTACACCGGTACGTACTTTTTCCCATCTTAAAACCTCGTACCAAGACCATTTTTCCCTCATCGAAATTTTCCCCGAAAATATTTCTACAATAATCTCCGAGTTATATGCTCCATTCTTCGGTTTACTTGTCGAGAAAAAAATGTGTAAAAATCCTTTGCGCATTTCATTTAAACAAATTTTTTTTATGTATATTAGGTACCGAAAGAATCATCGCTCACTTTCTCAAAATATCTCGGATGTCTCGTTATATATGCTACCGTAAAATAAATCAAAGAAACCATGAAAATTCCACTTTATTACTATTCTTACGACAATTTATTCTTACACCGGTACGTACTTTTTCCCATCTTAAAACCCTGTCCCAAGACCATTATCCCTCATCGAAATTTTCCCTGAAAATATTTCTGCAATAATCTCTGAGTTATATACTCCATTCTTCCATTTACTTCTCGAGGGAAAAAAATGTCCTTGGGGTATTGCATTTATTTTTTATTCATATATATATCGGGACCAAAAGAATGATTCAGCGCTCACTTTCTTAAAATGTTGACGAGAATCGATTATGTCAAGAGAAAGGGGTCGACCGTGAATTATCCGTCCGCTTTTTGACGGATTGCGTCCAATTTGGGTTTAATTTTTTCTGACGTCCTGAGGAGACGTTTATTCTTGACATCTTTATTCGAACTCGAGTCGTCTGCCGGATCTTTTTGCCGGTGAACTGCCAAACGCCGAATCCGTAATGGCGAAACGAGAATGCCAACCGGGAAAACGAGTCCGCGGCGAAATTCCTTTTTTCGAATTCGAGTGTATTCCCGTAGAACCGGTCGGCGCAAAGAATTTCCATAAACATCGGAACACTCGCGCCGGGACGCGAATTGCCGGACAGGGACGTAAACATAACAGTTACGGGATTTTCGACATCGCCTCGAAATGACTTCCTGCCGGGGATTTGATTTTCATGAATTAGCATGTCGACTTAATGGCCGTTTCGATGTTTCATCAGCATTTTTAAGCGCCACCCGAATTTATGGAGTCAAAGAACTCAGAAATCCCCGTCACCTACGAAGTCATTGAAAATGTTTATTTTTCCCCACTTCTCAAATTTAAGTAAAGTAAAAAGGTAAATAAACACGATTGCAACATAAAAATCGAAATTACACATTTTCTCCTACTCCGAGATTAACGCATACCATACCATTAGATCTTTTTCATTAAATAACGCGTTTAATCGACCGATAATTTGTAGTACTCTTCAAAGGATCCTCTATATTATATGTGATTTTAATTTACATTTAATTATTCTAATTTTCGTAGACGTTTATTGAAAAAATTGTCAGTAGTGACGCTAAAGAAAATCGATTTACGCATTACAGTATCAGGCTATCGATAGACTGAAACTTGTATTTTTCGTTAATTAACACTCGATCCTTTATTTTCAATCTTCGAAAGATCCTCTACTTTACTTGTAATTTAAATTTATATATATATTCTTTTGTCGGTAATCATTTAAGGAAAAACTGTCAACGATGACCCTAAAAAAGTGCGTTTTATGCATTTCAGGATCAGACTAGCAAAAGCGTAGGAAATGGCGAATGCCTCCGAGCTGCAATTACCCCAACTGCTTGCATAAAGATTCGTTTCTTTACGCCGGATACGCAACGGACGACCGAGAAATCGTCGCTCTCCGTGCTCTGTACGCACCGCGGCAGTCGGCAGTGCCCGAGCAATCATTAATGTTCTTACCCGATCATTATACGCACGTAATTGCTCTTAGCCGGCGGTACGGGACAATTTTCCTATCCAAGTTACGCCATTGCTCCAAGAGCTGGCCAAAGCACGCCAAGCTCGCTCCTCAAGCTCCAAGAAAGGAATAAATTGAAAAAATGGACATGCAAATCGCTGCGACCATGTTATTCATTAAAAAAAAAAAAGAACATAACTGACAGCATGTTTTCCATTCCTCCCTTACTTTTTCAATTAATAGCAAAGACACGTTCTTTAGATTAAATTCCCTGAATTCTTCGATTAACGTGTGTAAGTATAAGAGTATAACAAACGAAACGTACATGACGCGGCGGCCATCTTGGAACCGCCAATAAAACTACGCCACGCGATATGAACTAATAAAAATAGACGACGAAGCGCCGATTTTATGTCGGAGAAAATTTGTAGACATTTTAGAATTTTTCACGTTCCTCAGGATAAAATTCCCGGATTTTTGGGTGTATCGCGGGGAATTGTAAGAAACGAAATATATGACAAATCGCCTAGACACAAATATGGCCGCCACGACGCAAGCCGCAGCTCATCCACAGACCTCGATACATTGTTAAAAAAAATATTATAACTTTATAACATTTTTGTTGGAAGTTTTAGTCAGACATGATATACTAACTTTATAACATATTTTCAAATAAAATGTATAACAAATATTATAAATTTGGTACATATGTGTAATAAATTTATAATATAGTTTTTATAAATTTGTGTTGATCAGGACACGATATCGATAATTTTACTGCAACCTTATGTACTAAAAGTGTATAAATTTTCTGAATTCTTTTTAACCGTGTAGAAGATATGGAGCCGAATGCGCAACTAATGGGAGGGAAACGCAAGACAGGTTCGCCACCTGGACTAAAAGTCGACTAATGATCGCGTCTAGAACTTACGTCCAGCAGAAGTGCCGCAGGGATAATTGAATTTATAGTTGATGCACCATATCGAGTGGTCGGCGCCCGCCATAGTTGGCAGTGGAAATGCGCCAAGTCGCACGTTAAGTGTCGCCGATAGTATTTATCGTCGCAGCTGCGAATGGTCCAGTAAATCTTTATCGCGTCCTTAGAAAATAAGAAAAAAAAAAAGGACAAGAACAGAGAGAAGTCATGGAAAACACCGTAGTGGGTAATAATCGTAAAATGGTATGAAATAATAGAGAGGGAGAAACAGAAAATCTGTTCAGCGAGGGAAAATGCCGGGATTAAGTAACAGAAGGGTTGATATTAGTGCGGTGTTAGCCGATCGAATCCGTAGGGAAAATAGCCAGGTCTGACAACACTAATTTTCTGCAAAGTTAACGTGAAATCAACCCCCCACACAATGACTATCGATCAAATGACTCGCAATTAACAGGGGAGTGCCAGTCGATGGGGCAAATGCGACACGCACCGAAGCTCAACGCCGTTTGTAATGGCCATTTATAGGCTTTTTTACCCCGCGACATACATTCCCCTGCTTTTACTTTTAACACGGAAAGAAATGGGAATGCGATCCCGCCTCGTCCGAGCAATTCTCATGGATCGAGGGAACAATCATACTAGATTACGTGTGTCTAATGGCACATGTGCGTACAAGCTGTACTCACGAGTACTCTCCACACCCTTCGGC